ACACAAAAATAGACTCAAAATGGATGAAAGACCTCAATGTGAGACAGGAATCCATCAAAATCCCAGAGGAGAACACAGGCAGCAATCTCTTTGACCTCAGCCACTGCAACTTCTTGCTAGACACGCCTCCAAAGGCAAGGGGAACAAAGGCAACAATGAACTTTTGGGACTTCATCAAGATAAAGTTTTTGCACAGCAAAGGAAACAGTCAACAAAACCAAAAGACAACTGACAGAATGGGAGAAGATACTTGCAAATGTCTTATCAGATAAAGGACTAGTATCCAGAATCTATAAAGAACTCATCAAACTCAACACCCAATCAAGAAATGGGCAGAAGACATGAACAGACATTTCTTCAAAGAAAACATACAAATGGTCAACAAACACATGAAAAAATGTGCAACATCATCCAGCATCAGGGAAATACAAATCAAAACCTCAATGAGATACCACTTCATACCAGTCAGAATGGCTAAAATTAACAACTCAGGAAAAAACAGGTGTTGGTGAGGATGTGGAGAAAAGGGAACCCTCTTTACACTTTTGGTGGGAATGCAAGCTGGTGCAGCCACTCTGGAAAACAGTATGGAGCTTCCTCAAAAAGTTGAAAATAGAGCTGCCGTACGACCCAGCAATTGCACTTCTAGGTATTTGCCTCTCATGGCTAATCTCTGGTTGCCATCATTATGCTCTCTTAATTAAATCTTCAAGTCTGCCATATTTTCTCTGACTTCATGGCATTTGCACGTCTTTCCGCTGCTTAGAATCCTCTTCCTTATCTTCTTCACAGGTTGGTTCCTACTCATCCTTTAAGTACTGTTATAGGTTGAATTGTGTCCCCCCAGATTTATATGTTGATGTCCTAACCCTCAGTACCTCAGAATGTCACTCTATTTGGAAATAGGGTCTTTACTAAGTTAAATGAGGTCATTTAGTGTGGTCCTACTCCAGTAGGATGAACATCCTTATAAAAAGGAAAGGGGAAATTTGGAGACTGATCCATATACAAGGAGAACATCATGTGAACATGAATCCAGTTATTCACAAGCCAAGGAGAAAGGCCTAGAACAGATTCTCCCTCATAGCCCTTGAAAGAAACCAACCCTGCTTACACCTGGATCTTAGACTTCTAGCCTCCAGAACTGTGAGACAATAAATTTCTGTTGTTTCAGCCATTCAGTTTGCGGTACTTTGTTAATGGCAGCCCCAGCAAACTAATCTATCCATCAGTAAGTGAGTGGATAAACAAACTGTGGTATATTCATTCCATGGAATAGAGAGGAATGAACTATTGATACATACAGAAGCATAAGAGAATTTCAAAATAACTATGCTGCATGAAAAAAGTAATTATGCAGCATAAAAGACAGACAAAAAAAAAAGAGTCCATAATGGATGACTCCCTGTATATAAAATTCTAGAAAATGCAAACAAATCCAGAGTGATAGAAAACACATCAATGACTGCCTGGGGGCTGGGGCTGAGGGATGGGGCAAGGGTGGTGTAAGGGTGTGTGTGGAAGAGCCAATAAGGAAGGATCAGAAAGGGGCACAAGGAAACTTTGGAGTGACAGATATATTTATTATCTTGATTATGGTGATGGTTTCATGGATGTGGACAGAAGTCAAAACTTATCAAATTATATTCTTTATATATGGACAGTTTTTTTGTCAATTATACCTCGATAAAGCTGTTTTTTAAAAAAAGAAACTGTATAAACTAAATGTGGTTCTCTGAACCTAGATTATATTTTTGGATAAGAAATGCTGGTATGTAAGGTGTATCTTCAATCATTCCTGAAACAGTTTGTACTTCCCCTTAAAAGAAAAACTCCCCCTGTGAGGGAGTTTATATTATAGATGGAAGAGTGAGTACAGCTTTGAGGTTGGCCCTATGAAATGACCCAGCAAAGACCACAGATGTGTCTTATCCACAGGTATTTCCTATACAGCTGGCAAATGAGGTGTAATGTTCCACTCTCTGAACATATAACTGTTCTAATGTCTCTAAAAACAATTACTTCCAGCTTAGCTCTGATAGAGAGTACATCTTAATTTCATCATTAGTGGAAAACAGGCAAACCACTCAAAGCTACCATTTATTTGAAGGAAAGATGAAACTTTATACATTTGTTTTCTTTACCCAATAAGGTAATATTATAACACATCAACAAAACGATAATTTTGCTCTCATATAGCTTTTGCCCTGCCAAATTGTATGCCTAGAAGTAGCAACTTTATTCAACCTTCTGATCAGGACTTCTATTCCTTCCATTTTTTCCTTGTTCCAGATTTTTCACATTTGTCTTTTAATACAATCCAGAAGGACAAGATTAAAATGTAATCCAATGAAAGGAATTCTGCAGCATACTGTTAACTTACCAAAGGGCCAGTTCAAATTCTGGGAGAGAGGAGTAACTAGCCAGGTAGGTGCCACAGTAACTGAATGAAAGTAAAGTGTAGTCCAGAAGAACATTGCCTAAAATATAGAATCCATTACAAAGATTTAATTATCATGTTCAGATTAACTGGTCTTACAGTTTATTTCCCTTATCTAATGATTTTCACATAATTCAAAAGCATTTAGCTCTTGGAATAACACATCTCCTAGCTGATTTCTAAGACTATGAACAGAAAGGTAAAAGCAAAGTTAAGATTTTTTTTTAAAAGACATTAGAGTGGGGCACCTGGCTGGCTCAGCCGGTAGAGCATGTGGCTCTTGATCTTGGGGTTGTGAGTTCAAGCCCCACGTTGGGCATAGAAATTACTTTTTTTAAAAAAGAAAAAATTTAAAGATATTAAGTGAATTAAGACCATTAGGTCACTGTCTCTAGACTTCAATCAAAACTGAGTGTACTGTATCATGTATGTCCCAGTGTGATTTGAAATGACCCAGAAGGATTACGTATTCCATAAGTATATGAAACATTGTAATTAGGAAAGTTATTCAAACAACTTTAAATACTTTGGGATGTTGTAATCATCCTAGGTTACTTCCAGATCTCTATACCTTGGGCCACAGCTGGCCCTTTGTTTAATATCTTCCAGTTCTTGGAACAATTATAAAAAGTTCTTTCTCATTTGTCCCTGTAGTTGAAGACATGAAACATAACTTTAAAAGTCTTAGTAACAACGTGTTTAAAATGTGCATCGTGAGGATGCTTCTGCCCTCCTGCATATGATCTGATTTCCCCTCTATCTGCTGTTCTTCAGTGTGGTTCCATAGGTACCAGATCTACCTTCTCCCATGTCTGTCTTTTGACATGAATAAAAAAAAATGCTTTACAAGAAAATATATCCCCTGTAATCTCACTACCAAATCCAGTAAATTTCTGGTATTTTCTTCTGTGCTTACTTGTAAATATACATTTTTTTCTTTAAATATAACTTTGAAAAAAATATGCTGCTTTTTATAGCTATAACAATCATGGATTAAATATATATAACAATTCATTTAAAAGACAGGTCATACAGTCTTACTCCTATTGTTTACATTACACTGAGCATTTGATCATTAATAATTCTTCAAAAATGTGATTTTTAATGTTTATATAATACTCTTTTGTGAGATGTTTTAATTTATTTAACCATATTCATATTACTAGAGATGTAGGAAGTTTCCAATCTTTTGCTATTATGAGAGTGCTTTTAACTCCTGCGCATACAAATCTTTTGACTATATTTCTGATTTCCTTAAAATTGAATTCTAGTTCCTCAACTGAGTTTAACTGAGTCAAATATGGTAATATTTACTTCCCAGAAAGATTGTATCAATTATTCCCACTGTGGGGGATGGGCTAAATGGGTGATGGGCATTAAGGAGGGCACTTGTGATGAGCACTGGGTGTTATATGCAAACAATGAATCATGGAACACTACATCAAAAATTAATGATGTAATGTATGGTGATTAATATAACGTAATAAAATAAAATTTGAAAAAGGCAACTTTTCAAAAATTGTAATTTCAAGGATATATATGTCCAATATCAACTTAGTCTTTAACTTTGTGGAATACACTGAGAATAGTCAGTTTAGAGGCACCTTGAGTCTTTGAACTCTCCTTAACAAACACACCATTATCATCAATCATCAGGACGATGGTCATAAAATTTCTTTCTGACCCAGTTCTATTTAAATATGTAACTCCCATGACTCCACTATATGCAACTACCCTTCTGTTTATAGATTATGTGGCTGAAGGAATAATCTATATGCTTTCCATATCTCTTATTTTTGAGATTCCAACTAGGCATCAAAGTAATAGGATCAAAATTCATAACTATCCTTTTTATAAATAGGCATGTTTTGAAATACTAAGAGCAAATCAAATTCTGGTAAATTAAAACATGTTGGGAAAAGCTTGAGGATGACTTGATATTCAAAAGAACCTCACTGAGAAATCAAGTCATAAAGAATCCTTTCAAAATGCAAGCAACCACTCCAAGGTAATTATATATGTAGAAAGATATTACAACTTAAGATGTTTAATATGTACATATAAAGCCAGTTAATTCATCAAACTGATGCAATCACATTACATGAAAGCAAACTAAGACCACCATTTTGCTGTGTAGTAACTAAGTCTCTTACTTTGCTTTGAGATGATGCTCCTGGTTACTTCTTTCAATAGTACACATGGTCACTGCACTTGGACTTGATAAGCACAGCTGGCGCCAGTTCATAGGGTTAAAAGTCATCTGGCTTACATCCATACCAGGTTGTGTCTTCTTGCACAAAATAACACCTGATTCCCAGTTCCTTAGAGGGAAATTGTGTTTTGTAAAAAATAATTCATTTGAATTTCACATCTTGAGAACATTTATCTAATTATTTGAAAACAATTTACATAAATTAAGCCTTAATTCACAATACATTTAGTCCATGATGTTAAATATAAAATTTATTAATAATTATGCTTATCATTATACTGTACCCTTCTAAGAAAGCAAAATAACTATGTGCTTTTAAAATATTACTCTGTCTCAACTAACTTTGACAAAGCAGGAAAGAATATCCAATGGAAAAAAGACAGTCTCTTCAACAAATGGTGTTGGGAAAATTGGACAGCCACATGCAGAAGAATGAAACTGGACCATTTCCTTACACCATACACAAAAATAGACTCAAAATGGATGAAAGACCTCAATGTGAGACAGGAATCCATCAAAATCCCAGAGGAGAACACAGGCAGCAATCTCTTTGACCTCAGCCACTGCAACTTCTTGCTAGACACGCCTCCAAAGGCAAGGGGAACAAAGGCAACAATGAACTTTTGGGACTTCATCAAGATAAAGTTTTTGCACAGCAAAGGAAACAGTCAACAAAACCAAAAGACAACTGACAGAATGGGAGAAGATACTTGCAAATGTCTTATCAGATAAAGGACTAGTATCCAGAATCTATAAAGAACTCATCAAACTCAACACCCAATCAAGAAATGGGCAGAAGACATGAACAGACATTTCTTCAAAGAAAACATACAAATGGTCAACAAACACATGAAAAAATGTGCAACATCATCCAGCATCAGGGAAATACAAATCAAAACCTCAATGAGATACCACTTCATACCAGTCAGAATGGCTAAAATTAACAACTCAGGAAAAAACAGGTGTTGGTGAGGATGTGGAGAAAAGGGAACCCTCTTTACACTTTTGGTGGGAATGCAAGCTGGTGCAGCCACTCTGGAAAACAGTATGGAGCTTCCTCAAAAAGTTGAAAATAGAGCTGCCGTACGACCCAGCAATTGCACTTCTAGGTATTTGCCTCTCATGGCTAATCTCTGGTTGCCATCATTATGCTCTCTTAATTAAATCTTCAAGTCTGCCATATTTTCTCTGACTTCATGGCATTTGCACGTCTTTCCGCTGCTTAGAATCCTCTTCCTTATCTTCTTCACAGGTTGGTTCCTACTCATCCTTTAAGTACTGTTATAGGTTGAATTGTGTCCCCCCAGATTTATATGTTGATGTCCTAACCCTCAGTACCTCAGAATGTCACTCTATTTGGAAATAGGGTCTTTACTAAGTTAAATGAGGTCATTTAGTGTGGTCCTACTCCAGTAGGATGAACATCCTTATAAAAAGGAAAGGGGAAATTTGGAGACTGATCCATATACAAGGAGAACATCATGTGAACATGAATCCAGTTATTCACAAGCCAAGGAGAAAGGCCTAGAACAGATTCTCCCTCATAGCCCTTGAAAGAAACCAACCCTGCTTACACCTGGATCTTAGACTTCTAGCCTCCAGAACTGTGAGACAATAAATTTCTGTTGTTTCAGCCATTCAGTTTGCGGTACTTTGTTAATGGCAGCCCCAGCAAACTAATCTATCCATCAGTAAGTGAGTGGATAAACAAACTGTGGTATATTCATTCCATGGAATAGAGAGGAATGAACTATTGATACATACAGAAGCATAAGAGAATTTCAAAATAACTATGCTGCATGAAAAAAGTAATTATGCAGCATAAAAGACAGACAAAAAAAAAAGAGTCCATAATGGATGACTCCCTGTATATAAAATTCTAGAAAATGCAAACAAATCCAGAGTGATAGAAAACACATCAATGACTGCCTGGGGGCTGGGGCTGAGGGATGGGGCAAGGGTGGTGTAAGGGTGTGTGTGGAAGAGCCAATAAGGAAGGATCAGAAAGGGGCACAAGGAAACTTTGGAGTGACAGATATATTTATTATCTTGATTATGGTGATGGTTTCATGGATGTGGACAGAAGTCAAAACTTATCAAATTATATTCTTTATATATGGACAGTTTTTTTGTCAATTATACCTCGATAAAGCTGTTTTTTAAAAAAAGAAACTGTATAAACTAAATGTGGTTCTCTGAACCTAGATTATATTTTTGGATAAGAAATGCTGGTATGTAAGGTGTATCTTCAATCATTCCTGAAACAGTTTGTACTTCCCCTTAAAAGAAAAACTCCCCCTGTGAGGGAGTTTATATTATAGATGGAAGAGTGAGTACAGCTTTGAGGTTGGCCCTATGAAATGACCCAGCAAAGACCACAGATGTGTCTTATCCACAGGTATTTCCTATACAGCTGGCAAATGAGGTGTAATGTTCCACTCTCTGAACATATAACTGTTCTAATGTCTCTAAAAACAATTACTTCCAGCTTAGCTCTGATAGAGAGTACATCTTAATTTCATCATTAGTGGAAAACAGGCAAACCACTCAAAGCTACCATTTATTTGAAGGAAAGATGAAACTTTATACATTTGTTTTCTTTACCCAATAAGGTAATATTATAACACATCAACAAAACGATAATTTTGCTCTCATATAGCTTTTGCCCTGCCAAATTGTATGCCTAGAAGTAGCAACTTTATTCAACCTTCTGATCAGGACTTCTATTCCTTCCATTTTTTCCTTGTTCCAGATTTTTCACATTTGTCTTTTAATACAATCCAGAAGGACAAGATTAAAATGTAATCCAATGAAAGGAATTCTGCAGCATACTGTTAACTTACCAAAGGGCCAGTTCAAATTCTGGGAGAGAGGAGTAACTAGCCAGGTAGGTGCCACAGTAACTGAATGAAAGTAAAGTGTAGTCCAGAAGAACATTGCCTAAAATATAGAATCCATTACAAAGATTTAATTATCATGTTCAGATTAACTGGTCTTACAGTTTATTTCCCTTATCTAATGATTTTCACATAATTCAAAAGCATTTAGCTCTTGGAATAACACATCTCCTAGCTGATTTCTAAGACTATGAACAGAAAGGTAAAAGCAAAGTTAAGATTTTTTTTTAAAAGACATTAGAGTGGGGCACCTGGCTGGCTCAGCCGGTAGAGCATGTGGCTCTTGATCTTGGGGTTGTGAGTTCAAGCCCCACGTTGGGCATAGAAATTACTTTTTTTAAAAAAGAAAAAATTTAAAGATATTAAGTGAATTAAGACCATTAGGTCACTGTCTCTAGACTTCAATCAAAACTGAGTGTACTGTATCATGTATGTCCCAGTGTGATTTGAAATGACCCAGAAGGATTACGTATTCCATAAGTATATGAAACATTGTAATTAGGAAAGTTATTCAAACAACTTTAAATACTTTGGGATGTTGTAATCATCCTAGGTTACTTCCAGATCTCTATACCTTGGGCCACAGCTGGCCCTTTGTTTAATATCTTCCAGTTCTTGGAACAATTATAAAAAGTTCTTTCTCATTTGTCCCTGTAGTTGAAGACATGAAACATAACTTTAAAAGTCTTAGTAACAACGTGTTTAAAATGTGCATCGTGAGGATGCTTCTGCCCTCCTGCATATGATCTGATTTCCCCTCTATCTGCTGTTCTTCAGTGTGGTTCCATAGGTACCAGATCTACCTTCTCCCATGTCTGTCTTTTGACATGAATAAAAAAAAATGCTTTACAAGAAAATATATCCCCTGTAATCTCACTACCAAATCCAGTAAATTTCTGGTATTTTCTTCTGTGCTTACTTGTAAATATACATTTTTTTCTTTAAATATAACTTTGAAAAAAATATGCTGCTTTTTATAGCTATAACAATCATGGATTAAATATATATAACAATTCATTTAAAAGACAGGTCATACAGTCTTACTCCTATTGTTTACATTACACTGAGCATTTGATCATTAATAATTCTTCAAAAATGTGATTTTTAATGTTTATATAATACTCTTTTGTGAGATGTTTTAATTTATTTAACCATATTCATATTACTAGAGATGTAGGAAGTTTCCAATCTTTTGCTATTATGAGAGTGCTTTTAACTCCTGCGCATACAAATCTTTTGACTATATTTCTGATTTCCTTAAAATTGAATTCTAGTTCCTCAACTGAGTTTAACTGAGTCAAATATGGTAATATTTACTTCCCAGAAAGATTGTATCAATTATTCCCACTGTGGGGGATGGGCTAAATGGGTGATGGGCATTAAGGAGGGCACTTGTGATGAGCACTGGGTGTTACATGTAAGTGATGAATCACTAAATTCTACTCCTGAAACCAAAACTACACTATATGTTAACTAACTGGAATTTAAATAAAAACTTGGAAGAAAAAAATTATTCCCACTTTCAGCAAAAAAGTATGCTACCAATTTCACTGCACTCTGCCTAGCAGTTATCAGCTTTAAAAAGTCATGATCTTGATAAGCAGAAAAACCTCATCTTGGTTCAAACATCAAGCTTTTAAAAGGATATTGAGATAGAATGTTTTTGATGATTGTGGTCATCTGTAGTTCTGTGGTTTGGGCAGTTACTTTTTCCGTTGTTCTAATGTGATGTTTGGTTTTTTTCTTGTTTCATAAACATTCTGAAAATACTTGGTCATATTTGTTCCAAATATCTTCCTCAGTTTATTTTTTGCCTATTAATTTTTCATAGTATTTTTGATGTTCTTAAGTTTTAAATTTGTATGTAATCAAATATGTCAATTTTTCTATTTTTAATTTTTTCCTTTGTGTGAAAAGTTCTTCCCCACCCTGAAATCATTTAAATATTCTACCATACTTTCTACTTTTCCAATAGGTTTGCTGTTTATAATGAACTCTTATTTTTGTCTGACATATGTTTTGATGTAGAGTATAACACGAATATCCAACTTGATACTTTTGTTCAAATTTTTTTTTTCTTTTTGATGTCTGATCTTATCTGTCACTCTTAGAAAATATCATTTTTGACTGGACTCAGACTTAGAGGTAGAAGCTCTGAGAGGACAGCCTCCGTCTCTTGGCAATTGGTTCCTGGCGTTTTTCTTAGGCTTCCTTCATTCTCTTGGCCAAAAGTTTAGCACATCCTGCAGCCTCTTATTTTTCTTAGTGCGCTGTTTCTTCAAGGCAATAATACACCAACATTTGTGCTGGAGGACACGTGGAGTAACAAGACACTAAATCTTAGGCGCTTTGGTTCTAGGTTTCTTACCTTCTTTGTTTAGGGGTTTTCTCACAACATACTGGCAGACATCATCTGCAGAGAGATTGAAAAGTTTGCAGATTCTGTTGGCTCTTTTGGGCCCCAGACGACAATGAGGCACAGTAGTATCAGTGAGTCCAGGAATATCCTTCTCCCCTTTTTTTTACAATGACCAAGTTGAGAACACTGAGATTGGCATCCACAGTGCAACCCCAACAGATTTGCGCTTTCTCTCTCTGGTCCTCCTTGGTCTATAGCAGGAATGCCCTTTACTCAGCAGCAGGCGGACACAGCCATAGGTCAAGACACCCTGCTTCATGGGGAAGCCTTGTTTGTCATTACCACTGATTCGGACCACATAACCCTTCCATTCTTCACCCGGAGCATCAGCAGCAATTTCTGTGGCCATACGCTTCTCATAAAAGGTACAAAGTTTGCATTCATTGTCCACTTCAATGAGTTTCTGGCAGCCAGTAGCTGGGAAAGAGACGTTCGGCTTCATCCCGAAGCAGCCTACCACCTCCGAGGCACCACGAAAAAGAGCCCAAATTGTTTTTTTTTTTTTAAGGTTTATTTTATTTATCTAAGTAATCTCTATACCCAAAGTGGGACTTGAACTCATGACCCTGAGATTAATTAAGAGTCGGATGTTTCATTGACTGAGCCAGCCAGGCACCCCTCAAATAATTTTCTTAACATCACTGTTTAATTGTTAAATAATCTATATTATCTATTTTGGGGATGAGGAGAGAGTATACTTAGCTTTTATATATTCAAGCCTGTCCCCAATCTTCAACTCTTCCACTGATGTGGTGAACCCTGCACCAATACTACACTCTTAATCCCTATAGAATAATATTAAAAGGACCTTCTGTCTTACCATCATTCTCTTTCCAATTTTCCTATTCTCTACTTTTTGTTCTTCTAGATGAACTTTAGTATCATTTACATCCTCCTTGCTCTCTGAAACATGACAAACTTAGGAATTATTTTCTGTGAAGAACTATATAATAATTAGGCTTTCCATCCAGGAATATGTCTGTATATGCTTAAATATTTTAAATCAATGATATTCTTGTAGTTTTCTTCACCTGAGATCACTCACATTTCTTCCTGAATCATTTCTAAGTTTTTAAATCTTCTAATCCTGTGGGTATTTTGAAACCAGCATCTTACAACATTCTCTCATTAGTCCTAGTAGGACTATTGCATTTCCATAATCTTCTTTTCCATAGATATACTTTTTCTGTTCCATATTTTATTGCATTGGCTAGAAATTCCAGGTTGATACTAAATAACTGTGGTAACAATAGGTATCCTTCATGACTTAATCATCATTTTATTGTGAATGCCTTTAGAGTTTCATTATTTAATATAAATGTTGGCTACTGATTTGAATTAACTCTTAGTTGCTTGGACAGGGCTATAGTCACATAAGCAAACTGGGGAAATTTTAAAGATGAAGAGTAATTACAGTCCATATAGACAGTTACCAATGTATGAACAGGTTACACCTTAAAAGTTGTTTTAATATGTTGAGAATACAAATTTCCCCACAAATAAAATGTTACAAATTATAGATGAACTCCCTGGCTTAACCCAAAGACTTATTTGACCCATAAGCCTAAATAACTAAGACTAGCCTCAAGCTCTCCTGAGCTTTCTAACCTTGATGTGTTAAATGAGGGAATCATTAGATGGAAACACCAGTAGATGTGCAGCAGCCCATTGTGGGTCAGCTGTATCTATGAATAAGTCAATAATAATAAATGGTGGGTAACAGTGATTGACATATATATGTGTGTGTGTCACATTGACATATCAATTATAGGTGTCAACATGACATATATAATTGATATATCAAATATATATACATATATATATAATTTCATTTATTATCACTACAGCCTTAACAGTAGATCCTACCATTATCCCCATGCCTAAGGAAATTGAGACTCAGAGACTTTAGAACTTGTATGCTATCAATTTACTTGGATTTTCAATAAATCATCAGAAAAGAAAAAAAAATCTTCTGAAAAAACACTAAACTGCATTTAGTGCTGTAAGTCTTCTAGCCCAGCGCTTCCCAAGTTTAATGTACATATGAATCACCCAGGGAATCTTGTTAAAATGCAGATTTTGATTCACTAGGTCTGGGATGGGAGCCATTTCTGCATTTGTAACAGGCATCCTAGGTGACGCCAATGTTGAAGGTAAACAACCACACACTTTGAGTAGCAAGGCTGTAGCCCACTTAATTAAATTCTCTGTGATCAGCCTGATTCCCTCTTTAAAAATGTGTATTATGAAAAACAAAAATAAACATAAAACACCCTTCATTTATAAGAACCAGATTTGGTCACATAACAAAATCGTTTAGTTATGGCAGATGAAGAGTCTTGCAGGTTACCTTTCAATTTGTTCCTTCTGGTCAATCCAGGAAAGTTGTATATGTAGATGAGAGGTCTTAGCCTCCGGTCAGAAAAAGCCACAACTTCATAAGGAACATTAGTTGCCACGACACCCACAACTCCATTCATACACTGGAGTACAGTCTTTTTCTTGGTTTCAATATTAATAAATATTACAAAATTCCCACAAGGGTAGCAGATGGTGCTGTCATTGATAAACTGAACATTCTGCTTAGGGAATCCTTCGACCCATCTTTGGGGGAAAAAATATGTCACCATCAATATAAAACATTTCAAATACTTTTTTTTTAGACAAAGCAAACAAAAAGCCATCAAAATATTTGAAACACATCTATTCTATCTTCACCCCCTTTCTGCCCAAAACAATCTCTAAGATAAAAGAATACATATGCTGGCTGTGAGACCAGTTTGAGTCCAGGCACTATAGAAATTTAGTCTTGGGTCTTAACAGCCTTCTTCAGAGAACTTTTTCCGTGAAGCAAATCCTCTGATCAAACCTGAGAAAGTCTCAGAAGGATTTCTGGGGTCTGAATACTTGGAAAAGAAAAAGTAAAAATAACAGAGAGAGAAAAGAGCCTGAGCTAAGAGAAAACAGGGTGTATCCTGGGCCGTTCTATTATCTTTGTTTTGATTTTAAAAATAAGCTTTAAAAAAACAACTTTGAATCGGGCAGCCTGCTTTGTGGTTGTGAGCCAAGTAGAAAAACTGTTTCTTTACCAAGATGAAGGGTGTATAGCTGTTATTTTAGATCTAAAAATACAGATAAATGCAGAAAATAAATGGAATTAAGTCAACATGAATAAAAAGGTTAGAACACAAAAGGAATGTATTTTTAAGTAAGGAATGTGTGGTGGGTGTATCCTTCGGAAGGACAGTCTGATTCTACTTTTATTTAAATACTAAATTTATGCTTAAAGATGGTGGGGAAGGAAAGAGAAGGACACTAGTTTGGTGAGAGACTTCCACGGCCTGGAGAGTAGAGCCGGGGCCGGTGGAAGATGCTGTATGAAACTCTAAAATGTGGAAGCAAAGAAATACCCGTTTTATCTGTGCAGCTCTTTATGCTTTTCAAAGACCACTAAAAGTGCAAATAAATCCAAAGTTAGTGGATAGTAGTTAGAAGGAAGGGATTGACTGCCCTAACTTAGGGAGTGGGGGGGAAATCACCAAAGATGACAAGGACAGGAAAGCAGGATGGGTGTGTGTGGGGCGGGGGAGCTTATGTACGAAAGGTCAGGGGGAAACGGGGTACTGAGCCAGAAAGACGAGGCAGAAATGAGGAGAGGAGGAGAGCAACTGTGGATGAGTGAGAGGGGTAGGGTCACAGAAAAGTGGGGGGAGGGGGTGCAAACAGCTGGAGATGTGGCCACTAAATAGGGGGACGGGGGATGGAGACAAGAGGTCACACAGGGAGTCTGCAGGAAAGCGTTGGGGGATAAAGAAGAGGTCCAGGTTTCCGGGAGAACGGGTCTACAGAATAGGAGGAAGAAGAGGGTAGGGAGTGGATTAGGTCAGAAGGAAGTTTCCGGCAGACCCAAGTCCGTCGCCGGGCGGTGGACGCCGCACCTCACGGACAGGGACGCGCCGGCGGTGGCGTAGACGTTCTCCTCTCGCTCCCGGCCTTGCGCCATGAGCCGTGTTTCTCTCAGCGCGGTCCCGGGTAGGAAACGCCCGAGGCCGCCTCGGGTCTGCAGCCGTTACTCCAAAACCCAGCGGCGCCGACCGCAAAGCGTCCGCAGTTACCACCGTATCTAGGAGACTGTAACCCCTGCTCCCATTGGTTCTGTCCTGTGGACCTGCTCGTCTTGAGCCTAGCGGATTGGTGGGAGCGCTGCCACGCCTCAGCCAATGAAAGAGCGGTGAGCGAAGCGAGGGGCGGGCCCCTCAGAGTGGGTGCTGGAAGGCCTACCCTGCGGCAAATAATGACAATATTAATAATATCAGTAGCTGAGGTTAATATTGTGTGCTGACCACTCCAGACGTTGTTCCAAGCGCCACGCAGGCATTATTTCATTTAAGCTTCAAATCACTCATCAGCCCCATTTTACAGATAAGCAAAGTAAAGTGGAGACAAGCAACTTGCCTCCGGCTGCAAAGTTGAGTGGGACTTAAAGCCAGGCGTCATCTAAATCTAGAGCTCCAAGCCTTTAATTACTATATTACTCTCAAATGGGCCCACGGCTACTTCAAGGAGGCAGACAGCTTCAGGAAGTAACCTGACTGAAAGGCCAACATCCTGTCCTTCTTTCTTCCTTTTCCCTCTTATACCCTCTTTTCCCTCCCTCCCTTTCCTTCCCCTCTCCTCCCTTCCCTTCCTCTCTTCCCTGCCCTCCCCTTCTCTTCTTTAGGTCTCTCTTCCCTGCCTTGCCACCTTTTCTCCTTCTTTTCGTTCACAAATTTTACTGAGTATCTCCCAAGCATTGAGCTAGTCACTTGAAACAAAATAATGAGCCAAACAGATAAAATCTCTTCCTTCTTGGAACTTAGAGAGTGGTGGAGTCCAGAAAGGGGAGGATTGACGTCCATTTCACTACGCAAATACAGAATTATAGATTGAACTAAAAAGAAGAGGAGCATGATACTTTGAGTAAACATTTATGTTAAGGTCCTTGATGTGGGAAACAAAGGCAACAGAAAAATTTCCTTACTACTCACAGCCCATTGACAAGTCCTTGAAACAAGCAGAGTGACATTCTTCTAGGAACTCAGCTGCCTCAATGTTAATACTTTGCTAAGGGCAAAAGGCAATCTTAGCCTGACCCCCTGATCCTGTAAGTCTGCTTTAACATATAAAAATTCTTTTGGAAACGTCCTTTATCTTTACCCCCCAAGATATGTGTTGGCAATCCCCCAAGCATATGACCCACTGATATAAACTTGAAGGGTATCATAACTAAGGTCTTATTGGACAATAATAAATGGCCTTTTCCTAACAATAGCTAGCCCCCCTCAAGGTCCTGGAAACCTTGCTTCCAAATTCCTTAGAGACTTTTGCTATCCCTAACCCCCTCCCAACTTGAAAGTATATAATCGGCCACTCCTCATGACCCCGGTACAGCTCTTTCTGCCCACAGGTCCGTCCCTGTGCTTTAATAAAACCACCTTTTGCACCAAAGATGTCTCAAGAATTCTTTCTTGGCCGTCAGCTCTGGACCCCAACATCTTTCCTATATCAGTCCTCACTAGTTGGAAGGGCAGTCAGATGATTTCTGTGTGCATGTGCCATTCTCACTGAGAGCAGAAGGATGAAGAGTGATTGCTGGGGCTGGCAGGGGTCAGGGAAGTAGGATGGGCAGAGGAAAGTTTTTGTAAAGGTGTTAAGACCGGACAACAGATTGGATGAACTGGGAAGGGTAGTGTGATTGGAGCAGAGGGAGATGAGAAGAAAATACTGAAGACCAGGCTGGAGAAGGAGCCACGGGTCAGGTAAAGGCCAAGTTGAGAATTCTGGTTTTTCTCCCAAGAGCCAATGCAAACACATTAAATAATAGGAAAATGACATGATCAAATTTATGTCTATAAAAGATTCTGGCTGCAGGAAGATTACCAACTGGCCAACAGAGTAGGGAAAATAAAAATAGGAAGTTCTGTTAGGAGCCCGTTTCATGGTCCTAACAAGGGGAGCAAGGCAGGGTTTTCAAGCTCACCACTATTGGCATTTGAATCTGAATTGGAGGATTCGTGGGGAGCCCCATGCAGGATATTTAGCAGCATCCCTGCCAGTAACACCTCCACAGTTGGGACAATCAAAAATGTCCATGGACGTTGCCAAACATCCATTGGGGTCAAAATCACCCTTAGTTGAAAACCACTGATCAGTTAATGTATTAAAAATTATGTTAGAAGGTGAAAATCTATAGGATTTGGTGGTGCACTGATAAAGAGGGATAAACAAAAGGGAAGAATCAAGGATGGTTTTGGATTTCTGATTATAACAGTCAGAGATAGTGGTGCCCTTCACTGAAACAGGGTGAAGAAGGAAAGGAGACAGGTGTTTCTCTCTAAAGAATTTTTTTTTCTGAAATATAAGTGCCCAACACATGCAGTGCTTAGTGTTAAAGAACTGCGCAGAATTGTCTGACAAAATCCCACATTTCTGAGTCACAGAGAGAAGTGGCATGAAGAAAAGTCAAGCTTTCCCCTCTGGTACTTCCTAAACCCTGGGCAGTTTCCTGTTGCCACTCCCTCACTAGTTGGTTCATTTGTGTTTTGACCAAGCCCTCCCTCCAAACATAACTTTAACCACAACCTGAGCATCTTAAAGCCAACAGCAGAGAAGATTGTGATGAGGCAAATCCTGCCATGCTCCCAGGGTAAGTGGTAGAAAGAGGATATAAGGTAGGCAGGAAATGTGTACTCTGGAGAAGAGATACTGACCAGGCTGACCTCAGGCATGATCCTGGAAATCTGAACTTGCCCAGTGCTAGAGCAAAAGAGGAACTGAATGGAATCAAATTGGAAAAAGCCATCTTACGGCTATCTTACTTCATGAAACCTGACTGGGGTTTAGATGAAAAGGTCTCCAGCTGGGTTTCTGGGATATCTGTTGTTGATATTCGGGAGGAGATGCCCTGATCTCTGCACCATGTGAGTTGCAGGAAGATGAGTGGCCTTTCTTAGTCTGGAGGGGGAAATACTGATCATATCAGAGGATGGACTGGTAGGGAAAATTCAGGAAAATCTGTTCCAGTGCTTACTCTGAAAGATTTACAGATAGTAGAAGCAAAAGCTTCCTCTAGAAACAAGTTCTTTCTCTAATCAGTGACCTGTAGGAGCAGCCCTAAGCATCCTAAGGTGATAACCAGTATGCTCTACCATTTTTGGGAAGCACCCAACCCCCCTAAACACAATCTACTCCTCTCAACTCCCTTTCTCCTTGCAAATCTGCACCCTATCACCGTTAGACCAGTCCTGGACAGCATAAGCCTAATTCTCAGCATTAGGTTTTAATCTTTGTAGGAGAACTCAGCTCAATGCCGCCAAAGAACAGTGGTCAATTCAGGTTCATTGAACCCTAAAGCCAAAACCTGTCCACAACCAGCCACAGAACAAAAAAATGCTTATGTCCCACTAAGAGATTATTTCACTCCCGGCTTCTCTTAGGTCCCAACCAAACTCCATGATATCTGAAAGATGAATTTTCACTAAGTTTTTCACCCATCAACTAGGTTTTCTAGGACTATTTAAACGTGGAAAAAGATTACACAGCATACTGGAAAGCATTTCATTAAGTAGATGAATAAATGACCTCTAGTGTATTAGCTAATTATTTGCTTTTTGTGAAAGGTAGCAATGTTTATAAGAAAAGTTGAAAAACCAAGAAGTGAGCATTGTTTCTCTGGGTAAAAAGAAATGTAAATAATGAGTGTTTTTAAGGTAAAGGAATAACCATTTGCAACAGGCAGTACCTTCTTATTCTTTGGTAGTTGGCCCATTATATAATAGTGGATGATAATAAACCACAATTTATTGATCTCCTATTATGTGTTGAGAACTTAATAAAATCTGGATCCTCCCAATAACCATGGTGCAGAGGAAACTGGGGCTCAGAGAGTTGAAATATGTAACTCAAGTTGACATATTTAGTTCTGCACAGATTTCCTCTCTGCTCAGCTATAATAACAGCTCTTAGGCCGCTACTCTGTGTCTGCTACCATTTAAGAAACATGTATTATTTTATCCCTACTGCATAGACAAGGAAACTGAATCTCAGAAAAGTTAAGAATTTTGTACAGGCTATCACAATCTCAAATGGATTTGAACCCGGGTATTTTTAATTGTCTTAAAGAGCCCTTCTTTCCAGAGATGTGCAGACTTGAAATTTTAAATCAAACTGGGCATTTAATTTGAATTGAGTGTTTTTTCTGGAAGAAGAGGAAAAATAGGGAATCCTTCATAATTCCCAGAAGTTTTAGAATAAAGAATATGGAATGAGGTTACATTTTTATGGAAATTCTGGGACAATTAGTAAAAATGGCTGAATGTTATTATTATGTGCATTTAATCTAACGTTTTGGGGCTTTACTTTCACATTTCAAATATTTTTACAGTGTATGTAGAACATACCTTTATGATGTCATTTCTTGTCCCAAGTTGCTTCCTTGATCTTGATGCTGAAATAACTACACTTTGTTGAAACATGGAAAGGATTTGTAACCAACATCCAAGTACATAATACGCTGGATATACAGTGTTAGACAATGCTTTAAAGAAGATGACTAAGAAATTTAGTTAGTTTAAAGGGGAGAGGGGAGATTATCACATCAGACCCACCCTGAATTCCAAGGGAAGAATATAGACACCTGTAAGCCATTTATCTAAGTATTTTAAATGATTTATGAAACTTTATAAGTCAGAACACAAATTACAAGAATGAAAATTAAAAATTCAAATCAGAATTTTAAAATAAAGCCAAAATTGTTATTTCATTTTTTATTTTAATTAAATCTTTTAAAATATTTTATATCAAAAATTGTCATTCTAATGTTCAATATCCATCTAGTCAAAGTAAAGAATTGGTGTTAGGCTCCAACATGTACGACCTACGTACATAAATAAACGTAGGCACAATAAGATTTGTATTGTATCATAAAACATTCCTCAGTCTCATGTATTACTATTGCCAATGCCACACTA